GGACATTGGGTTGGGTATGTACTCTTCATGAATTTCTTTCTGAGAAGTCGATTGCTAATCAACAAGTTAAGTTTGCCGACCCAATCTGTAAGTGCTCACTCATATTTTAACAGAACTGAACAAAAGAATTACTGACCCGAATATAGTCAAGGGCACCCAGACCACTGCCTGGGATGCTTGGGGAGATCTCTTTCTCCGCTTTTCAGACAAGGAAATGAAATTGCTTAAAGGTTCTGCCGATTTGTAAGTGACGCTGAAACTTGGTGTTTCTGATATCATTTACTCAGTCTATTTATAGCTTTTCTATCAATCATTATGGCACCATGTACGCTACCGGCAAGCCTTTCACGCAGGAAGATGCTATGGGTTGGCAGACAATGGAAGAAGTCAATAAGAGCTGGGAAAAAGATGGGAAGCTCATCGGAAAGCGTGGCGAGAATGGCCATCCGCACATGGGTAAGTTTGAAGCAATCAATCCGTTTGGACACTTTCATAGTGCCGCTCCATGTTCATATTGGTGTTGATTCATGTTCTGAATAGTGGGTTGGGGATTCCGTAACCTGCTCGTACACTGCTGGGAGAATTACGCCAAGGACCTTGATATGCCAATCTACATCTACGAGAATGGGTTTCCTGTCGAAGATGAGCAGCACATGCCCCTCGAACAAATTCTGGATGACAAAGACCGACAGGAGTTTTACTCTGACTATATCCGGGGACTTTGTGATGCGATCCTTGACCATGGTGCCAAGATCCAAGGATATCATTGCTGGAGCTTACTAGAGTAAGTTTCAATATGACGATTAGAAGATTTTTGGGTTTGTGGAAGCTAATTCAAATTTTTGCCAGCAACTTGGAATGGGTTTGTGGCTATGGACCTCGTTTTGGAGTCACGTACATTGACAAAGAAAACGGGTTTAAAAGAATACCCAAGGACTCTGCTAAAGTTGTTGAGAATATCTGGAAGCATGTGGTCTCCGAGAAATAGGGATTGATCCCAAAGCGATGGTGCTCGTAGTATGAGTTTTAGACAGACATTGATAAGAAAAGAAGCTACAATAGGGCAGGCTATCTGCATATTTAAAGCACCCCAAAAAGACCGCGAGGCCTAAGAAGATATCAATGAAGGAGAACTTTTGACATCGCGTTCTATTCTTCTGTGAGTTCCTCGCCTTAGCTCATGATCAGCCCTGGAGTGTTATCGGGTTGGGGTGAACGGATCATGCATCCTTAGTGATTAACTCCATCATTATCTTGATAGTTTTCTCTTTATCTTTGTCCTAATAAGATAGCATTCGATATTATCTTCATCTCTGCAGGTTTTACTCTATGTACCTGGATGCTCTTGACTCGCATCTCGCAGTTGACACATCCCCTGCTAGTCGCCTCCTCCTAGTCCCGTACGGAGGCCGACGGCCCCCGTATTCCTAGGATCATAGCTGGAAGAGTAATCGGCCATGGGTCATGACACTCACAACTTTGGGAATGCAGAGGTCTTGAAGATCTACCTTGGGTGCGTAACTGGAGTATCAGAAGAGACTGCCAGGTGATCGAGGAACAGATAAGCAACCGCATAGAGTGTAAACCGTAAAATTGAATGCGCACATCTGCAAGAGATCTCACTCCCCCTTTGAGCCCACTTGGTTGAAACACTACAGCAGCATATCGGCCTATGGCGCTGGTAAGGGTGGTTATCATCCCAGTCCCTACCAATATTCATTTAACGAGGATGTACTCGAGACTTAGATGACCGATTCTTCGCTAGTACATTTTTAGCGTATTGTGGGGGCTCAACAGAGATGCTCCTCCGCAATTTGACTCGTGGTCTCGACCCTTATCTCTCCTCCACGGGGAGTAACTCCACATCAAGGTCTTTCCCTTCCATTTTCATCTCGTTCTCATGGGCAGATAACAGTCAACTATAAATCATGGGGTTCGCCTCCTTCAAGGCATTGCATAAGAGCATCTTCACCTGTTGAATCACTCAAGTCACTCACCAGAATAGCTCGCCCCTTGCGCACAACCACCACCATGGGAAAACTCGGAGACTACCTCGAAGGCACCACCCGCACAGGGCTGGGCTGCATGTTACTGGCCTCTGTCGGTGCATTTTTGTTTGTGAGTAAAGCCATACACCTCTTTGATCGTCTCCTCGGGCGATTGTCTTTGTCCTGACATTTCTCAATGGGCAGGGCTTCGATAACGGATGGTGGGGGACCATCCTCGGCGCAGACACCTTTCTTCGACACTACGGATCGTGCAAAATAACCGATGGTGTTGAGACATGTAATCTCTCCACGGGACAGTTATCTGCCGGGAGCGCAGTTCAGTCTGCAGGAATGAGTAAGTCGACAGCACTCTGATATGCCGACAAGACTCGGTTGGCCATTGCTAATTCCCAGGTTTTAGTGTTTGCTTGCTTACTTGCGGTCTATGTCAACGACTTCCTTGGGCGCAAGAAGGGACTTGTCCTCACAGCCATCGTTTCTATTGTCGGAATCGTGATCGAGTTGACCAGCGCCATCGGAGCCAAACCTCGCTTCGCGCAATTCGTTGTTGGCAAGACCATTGCGGCGATATCGATGGGCCTCTGTGCCAATATTGTCCCTATTTACCTCTCCGAAACATCTACAAACAAGGCGAGAGGTGCTGGCATCGCGTTGTACCAAAACATCCTTGTCGTGGGCGTTATCACGGCAGCTGGCACCGTCTATGGCACGGCACAACTGACAAGTTCTGCGTCTTACCTCATTCCCTTTGCCCTGCAGCTTATTGCGCCTGCTGTCATGCTAGCAACTTCACCATTCCTTCCCGAAAGTCCTCGTTGGCTTGTGACTAAGGGGTATGATCTCTTCGCACCTAGTCCCTCCCCATTTACGCCAACACGATCTAACATTTTGAGATAAACAGACGCCTCGAAGAAGCGAAGACAGCATCTGAGAGAATTTTCGGCTCACCAACGAACTATTTCAACGCAGTCGAATATGTCAATGCGATCGAGCTTGCTGTAGAGGAAGATAAAGAGCTCAACGCTGCATCTGGTGGCTGGGTCGACTTACTGCGCAGCCCATTCCTGCGACGTTTACTCATTGCAATGGGAATGCAGTGTTTACAACAAGCACAAGGCTCCAGCTACATGAGTAATTACATCGTGTCATTCCTACAGGCTTCTGGCGTAAAGGACGTGTTTCCTGCCATCATGGGAGTGAACGCGCTGTACTATGTGTCAATTCTCAGTGGCCATATTCTACCAGACAAGTTTGGTCGACGCCCGCTTATCATCTGGACAGCACTTTTCTGCGGCGTTGTGCTCCTGATCGTTGCCATCTTGACGACCACCGTGAGCCCTCCGACGACTGCCACATCGAATGCCTCCCTTGCGCTGATTCTCATCTGGCAAGTTGGATTCGGTATTCAATCTACTCTGGTCTGGATTACCACGGCAGAAGCGGCCCCTACTCGCAACAGGGAAAGGGTTCTGGCTGTGGCCGTCTTCATTGGATTTGGTGTCTCCTTGATGATTACGTCTGTCTCACCATATATTCAGAACGAGGATTATGGGAACCTGGGTGGTAGAATCGTAAGTCATACTTTCAAATTATCCCAATTTTCTCAGGGTCTAACCTTATATTCTAATAGGGATTTATCTGGTCTTCATTCTCCTTCATCACCGTCATTTGGGTCTTCTTCTTTTTACCAGAGATGAAAGGTTTCTCACTCGAGCAGCTCGACTTCTTGTTTGCCAACAAGACTCCTACTCGCAAATTCAAATCGTACAAGTTTGGTCATTCGGTTTTGGCAACTGAGGAGCTCAAGAGCGATTCTCAGGAAGCTGTGCAGGAGGAAATAATCGAGGCCGCCGGGAAGCTGAAATAATACGAGTGCTTCAATATGGGACAGTCTTTCACTCCTAGAGTATGAGACTGAAAACCGGATCAGCACTTGGCTCGGAGGGCCTAGTGCTAGCGAGTGAATCGAAGTCTTGCTCAGATCTGGGAGCTTCGCCCGATTTCTTGAGCAAGGCGACATCTAAAATTCACCTCGCTGCTTAGTTACACATTCGATAATAAATACAGTGCCTATCAATATCAAAGAGACAGTTACGTATCACCCAAACGCGGTGGTTGCTTGCCATTCTATGCTGTCGCTTTTAGCTCCTTTTCCAGATCAATATTAAATAGGTACCTTCCCTTGGCTGCTTCTTTTAGAGTAACCCATACACTCCGACTAGAGAGCTGCAGCTCATTCGTTTCCGCAAGAGGCAAAATTAGGTGGTGGGAGTCCTTAACCCCGTTCTTCAACATGTACATGTATATATGAATGTAAGCTAGATCGATACCTCTCCACGCTGGCCAAGACAGTTGTTGCCACTCAGGGTCCGATATAATGTTTGAGGGGTTTTAGGGCCCTATTGAGAGCGCCCAAATATAGAAAGGAAATCGATAGGCTCTGACCACTAAGATAAAGATCCGTCAATTTATTTCCTAGGTCTACAAAGTAAGGTTTTTTTTGTCCGTAAAATCACTTCACTCATATCCTCCGACAAGAAAGTCTCGGATATAGCTCTAGCCTTCCCATCGGCAACTTCTTGTACTATTGTGTCTTCGTTCGGGGAGAGTGGCATCATGTTTTCACAGTATTTGTCAGTCATTATGGCTCAAATCAAAAGCCGCCAGAAAGAGAAGAGAGCTTCATTGCCGTATCTATACATCTCTTCATGGATCGACACCCAGGGTCAGATCGGGCAGCAAGATAAGGCCACAAAGGAATTAGTCATACAAATAGGATAAAACCCCCGCCGCACGCCCGTTACACCTTTTTTGTGTCCTACCAAATATCTCCCACCGTCAAAAGCCATAATGCGTCACTTAGTCCCCAAGAAACCTAAGCGAGGCGCTAGAGATAACTTGACAGTGTATCAAGTTATTCTCCCCCGGCCTCCACAAAGAAATGACGAATCCCTTCCTTCCTTAAACCGCCTCAGCATTGAGATAATCACCATGATCATCGACATGCTCTACAACGACAGCCCATCCAGCGCTAATGAGCTTGCCCGCGCAAGTTCCTTTTACTATCATATGACGCGGTACCGCCAATATCGAGAACTCTGTGTGACCATCTCAGCAACTACCAATGAAGTGGCTTTCCAAAATCGACTGGCTGTGATGGAGGAGGAAGGCCTGTTCCCTGCCATCCGACGGTTGAAAGTCCGTATCAGAGCAACAGACAAACAAAAATGCACCACCAGCATGATCGAGTTCCTTGGCAAAATGATGACACTGAGGGACCTGGAATGGCGTTACGCAACGAAAATCAAGATGGCCACCTGCGTCCCGCACCAGTTGATTTCTCTGCTCCAGTCACGGCCCCAGGTGCGGCTTCATGCTGGCGTTTCGCCCTCATCAGTACGCCACCCTCGTTCCGAACATGATTTTGAGTACAACTTGTACCGCTTGGAAGAGCTCAAGAACCTCCGCTCATTCCAGATACGATTTGCCTACCGCAAGCCGAAGACCTGTGAATTGATTCTTCCATGTGTCAAGCGTGTGATGATGTCTTGTCCCAATCTTCGAAAACTCAAGATCGACATACAGCAACGTTGGAGGGATAACGACCGCCTGGCGCACTACTATGCTGGGCTTGGATTCGTGGACGGTGAACGACTGCCGGCATTGGAAGAGCTACATCTGGGTCACTATGAATTTGGCCATGACGCGGATGAATGGCCCTTGTTAGGACGTTGCATAGGATATCCAGGGAATGGGGATGAAATGGCTTATTGGGCAGAGACGTTTGACTGGTCAATGCTGAGACGAGTGCACATGGGCCGAGTGCAGTTCGCGGTAAAAATAGCCCCGAAACTAATTTCTCTTCAGGAGGTCTCAGTAGATAATGTCGCACAGGGGTGGCGTGTCTTCTTCCAATCGCTTCCCGTGGCTCTCAGAATCATCAAAGTTCCATCCTTTGATATTATTGACCTGGAAACATTGACGAAACACGGCCGGTGTCTCAAGAAATTAGACCTGGCCCATAGCTATTACAAGTCCTCTCGTGCTTTAGATGCTTCTAGCCTTCTAACGATTCGAGAGGAATGCCCTCGCATCAGAGATCTGGCCCTTGACCTCGACAGAGCTGGCGAATGGCCATATGAAATGCTGGACATCTTAACAGGCTTTCCACAGCTCCAAAATCTGACCATTCGGCTTGATTCGGGAACACCAGAGAGGATGATTCAACCATATGTGACGTACAGCGCAGTTTGTCATCTGTTCAGCTATTTCCGCTCGCAGCGGTCTTTAGCCATGAAGCCGTTGAGACAACTCACTATCAACACGGGTTCATTCCATTATCATCAGTGGGATCGTAGCCTTCGGAAATGGACACGTGATCTTGCCATTACCTTTTCATGCCGAATGTCTGGAGCAGGAGACGACGACAATGGCAACGGGTCTTTGAACGTCAGATGCCAACACCTAAGTGAAGAAGAAAATCAACAGTTGGCTAGGTCAACCTCCGACTCGAATCTCTCCATAGACTCGAACAAAAAGTTAAGAGTAGTACAGCAGGGGCCCACTGCTTGCGAGTGGCAATAATACCTCCTGGCATCCATACACAAAGATCAGGTCTGGCGGCAGTGGAACGTGTTCCCGAGATGCGACAGGCAGAGGAACGTCATGCAATCTGCTTTTTATTGTTGTGGAGCCATTCACTTACAGCAACTCCCTTCTTTGCCGTCTCAAGCTTAAGGCCAAGACCTGAATGGGGAGGTGTCGCCAGCCACGCTGCTTTTTCCTGTGTTTCGGTAGTTATTTCAGGTGTCCTAGCAATTGAATATTCCAAAAGAGCCCCATACATTTGTTTTTGTCGGTTTAGTTCCTCAACATATCCCTTATTTTAGATATTTCATCACCCACCTGGACTGCCCGTTGATTTTCTGGCCCGGTGTGAAGAACATTTAGACAAACTTTAATTCTACACAGGTAGCCCTTGCTCTATCCCATTATTCAAAAGATCATCAAAAAGAAATGATGAGACTGGGACTCGAACCCAGGAGGATTGCTCCACCAGGAATGAATGCTAAGGTAGCCTTAACCTGACGCCATAACCAACTCGGCCATCTCACCAGATGGTATGACACGTGATTAGTTTTTGTGACCCAATTCTGTGGACTGGTTGCGAGCTCTCCCGTGCCCAGATCCGGGCTTGACACAATTAGGGAAGAAGTCATGTTGGGATGGACATGCTTTTAGTTTAAGAATTCAGATTCCGCTAGATACATAACACTATCAAATGTATCAAATGATAACCATAATCAATCAACTAGATAGGAAATCTTTCGACTTAGTTCCTAAACTTTAAACAGCAGCGGCAATAGCCGTCCGGCTAGTTTGTTATTTCTATTTTATGACCCCATCACTCATCGAGCTGTCTAATAACATAACTAGAAGGGCCAAATTTTATATTTCCCCCGTAGATACATCTTGGCATCCAAAAATTCGTCTGTTTAAAGCTCCAGGCGTTCGTCATGGTGATTGTCGGAAATTGAGATGGTGCGGAATATACCGGCAAAGTCATCATGACCTTCACCTTGAATGAAGAATCCAACGCCACCCTTGTCATGGGTTTGATCATCAACCTCGAGGAGAGGCTCACTGTCACCACCGTAGGGGAGGAAGACTTTGAAGTTACTTCCGGTGACTTCGACCCGAATTGGTGTTTCGACTCCAGGCCTAATAACCGGCTCTGACCTCTTCAACGTCTCTGCCTTGCCATCCTTCCATACATGGATCTCGACATAGTCGACATGAAGAACAACAGAGTAAAAGTTGGCTTTATCCCTCTGCCTGGCTCGAAATATGATGCCGTTCGAGACACCGGGATAATTAATGGCGCTGGTAGTGGTACTGATGGAATAGTCGTTGCGGTTTGGGGTCACAATTAACCACGTTGAGATATCACCAAGCCTTCCCTCGAGAAGATTATGATGAGAATCCCATGTTCCATTGCCAAATTGAGACCAGTGGCCAATGCCGGTTTTGTAATCATCTACGAACGGAAGATTGACAATGTTCTCGGAGGCTGCGGTGAGAGTGGTGGCGGCTAGGCCAAGCAACAACTTTTGAGCAATCATGATGATGTCGGTACTCGGGGGTAATTTAAAAAATTTCAGAGATGTTTAAAGGAGAAACAATTCTAAATTGAGTATTAGAAATCTGACGAAGTGGGCATTCGTCCTAGTATTTATAGTGTTCTTCCTCCAGACTTCACACAAGCTGGCCTTATTTCAACCAAGACCCTCGTAGCTTCGAAATTAAGCCAATGACTCACAGAAATCGAAAAGAGAGAGGCTGGACGGAGTAGAGTAGATGTGTTCTTTTCATGAGTCGGACTCTATACCCTTTGCACAGTGATTGGCCCGTGTACGATCCTTGGCGTTCGAAATTGAACAGAAACAGAAAACAGGCTAACGAACGGTCAGCTGCGCCTTGTGCTAATTCGGGCCCTACAGCCTTGCATAAGATAATTGGCTACGTCGTATAGATGACAGGGCAGTGGACTTGTAGGTATAGGGAGAAAGAGTTGCACATCTGTCCCAATCTCATCTTAATCTATCCTTGCTCCTCCTCACTTCCTGATGCTGCTAACAGAGTGGCCACTTCATGATTGATAAAAGCACATGCCATTATCTTCTTATTCCCCCCCATTGTGATGATCTGGCGAGTGAAGGTGGAAGTCTTAATTTGACCCTAACAGGCCGGCGGGAAAATTGGTGCCTCCAATGCGTTAGTACAAATTTTCCTTTTCTTTCTTTCAAACTCCATGGCCTTCATTATCACAGCCTCTTCGATTTGTTTTCAGCCACATTCAGGGAGTGGAGACGACGCAGGCTTCTGCTTTCGTTACCATGCATTGGCAAAAAGATTGGGCTATCACCAGGCTTTCAAAGTCATTTGGATATAGTTTTCACATAGGTTTATTTCGTAAATCTCCTTTTTGAGCGGAAGAAATCTTTGGCGTCCCAGACACGCTCTTCATTTGAGATATGGTTGGGTGGATTGCATCTAGCTATTCAACTTTGCCAGCGCCCTTTCTCCTCAGGATTTTCCCAGCTCTTGTACCAGCCATCTTTCCCTCGTCCAGCGCTACCTGGCCATTGACAACAACAAACCGGACTCCCTTGCTCGGAAGTTTCGGCTCATCGAACGTTGCCATGTCGCTGACGGTCTCGGGATCGAACAGGACGAGGTCAGCAGCAGATCCTTCGGCCACGAGGCCTCGATGAGGGTATATAGATAGACGTTTTGCAGGCCTTGAAGTCAAGTGGGCGATCATCTGCGGGAGAGGGACAATGCTGAGATCTCGCGCGTAGTGTCCTGCCGTCAAAGTAAGCAAACAATAGTGCGCAAGTTTGATCTGAAGGAATTGACAAACCTAAGTAGCGAGTGAATGTCCCGTAGGCTCTTGGGTGGACAGATTTGCCATGTAGGATGGCATCACTGCCTGCCATGTGGACTTGATGCTGCATGATTTGGCGAACGTTTTCCTCGTGGCCAACATGCATCAGGCAACTTGTTGCGAGACGATCTTTTCGCAGGATGTCGAAGAAGACCTCGATCGGAGGCTTTCCAATTGATTCAGCTACTTCCGCGACTCGCCTGCCGGAATACGATTCAAGAGACGGATCTACTGTAGTACCAATCTAGTCAAGGAAATTAACACATCTGCTTAAATGTGGCAAGTGGATGGTGGCCGCTCACTTGGATCGACTCCCAGTCCGTCGGGATACCGTGCCCACCGTCACAACCTGTTACTTCAACGGCGACTCGAATCTTCTCTCGAGTATCAGGGTCTTCAAGCCGCTTAAGGGTCTCTGCCGGGCCACCAGAGGAGGCCCAGCTTGGCAAGAGCGCGGCAAGAGTTGTGCATCCCGGGAGGTATGGATAAGTATCGAGGGTGATATCCCTGCCTTTTGCAATGGCGGTGTCAATCATTGAGATGAGCACGGGGGCTTTACCTTTATTTTCTGAGAAGTTGAGCGTTGCATGTGTCAGGTCTGCTCTTCAATTAGAACAATACTCATAGACACGGAGTCCGAATGGGGTAGAGATATCGACCTACGTATGGGACAGCCAGTGGCATGGCCGAGTTCAATCATCTCATCGTAACTTTCAATAGCTCGATGACCGTAACTCCGATGATGTGGAGCATAGAAAGCTCCTGGGAATTCTGCACTCAGTGCTTTGCATAGGACGGCCAATTCAGACGTGGGTGCGTACATGCCGGGCGTGTATGTCAGGCCACTACATTGACAGTCAGATATCAGGGCCAAATTGCAGGTTCAGACTCGGATAAGGTACCTCGACATTCCAACAGCTCCCTGGTTCATGGCCTCTCTCAGCAACTCCACTTGCTGCTGTATTTCCTCGGGTTTGGCAGGGACATCGTACGGTCCGCAGGCCAAGAGGCGTAGATTGCCCTGCGGAACCAAGACGGCGACATTTGTGGCGGTTCGGTTCCTCTCCAGACAGTCCAAGTACTCTCCAACCGTGCGCCATTCGAACATTCCAATCTCCTTCAGAGTTGTCCGGCACTCATCTTCGGTGGGGTTGCCATTCCAGCCGGCAATCTGCTCTCGGATGGCCTGCATCTGGTCCTTGGTATACACAGGAGAATATGATATCCCGTCTTGACCGACAACCTCGGTCTATATCCATTAGTCTCACTCTTGGTATTCATTGTTATCGGGCAGGCAAGCCCACACCGCCCGAAATGAATATCACTGGCATAGAAAAAGAATAGCGGAACATACAGTGCAGCCTTGGCTGATCTTGGCCTCATGCGAGGGATTTGTGAGGAGATAAAGGTCGGAATGTGCATGCATATCGATGAATCCCGGGCAAAGGTAGTGTCCCTTTGCATCAATTTTACGGGCTGCTTCAGCATCAATGGAGCCTGGAGGACCTATCTTAGCAATGAGAGAGCCGGAGACGAGCACGTCTGCCTCAAAGGGGGCAGCCGACTCGTCGCCGGTAACAACGGTTGCAGCTGAAAAGAGTATATCTGAAGCCATGATAGGCGACGAAAGTGATGTATGAGAAAGAGAAGGGATTGTGTCGTAAGTTGCAAGCAGTCAATATCAATGAGCCACCCCGCACTCGTGAGAGGTGAGATGCAAATAAACCCAGATTGTTCCCGACTTCGGACGTTTCACCGTGCTTGAGCTTCTCCACTTAACAGACACAGCAAGATAAGATCCGCGATGCAGATGTATTCACAATACTCAAGTCCAACAAATGAAATTTACACATCAGAATACATAGTATTAGGCTATGCCCGCAGTCTTTGTGGAACAGCCGTTGATCGTACTGAGGCGTCAAGTATGTATTGTGAGTCAGGTATATAGAAGAGTAAGTCACTTCAAGTTGAAGGCAAAAGAGAAAATAAGTGATGAGAATGATTCCAAGTCTAATGTAAGTCGCAATAAATCTAGGTTTTTATATTAGGTGTCATATCGATTGCACGTCATATGCCCTGCGCAGACAAGTTGGTTATCGGTAAATACTTCCACCCATTGCCAACAAAAGATAAAGCAAACACTGTGGCAGCCAATGCAGCACCGAAAATGCCTGCCTTTGTTCCTACCGAATACCCCATCTGCTCAGATCTCTCTTCGGGGTAGAGCCATTCATGGGGAGCTGCTGCGCGGGGGAAACGGTCGTTCAGAGCAACACCGTCAACAATCAGTTCACTGTAGGAATTCAAGAACGTAGGTAGAGGCAGCAGAGGAGCAACCCTCTTCAACATGAATTGGGGGAACCATCCTTCCCAGGCCACCATGTGCATAGCGTCCTGACATCTGCTGACCATAAACTCGAGGCGCGGGACCCGCAGCTCCTCAACAGCGGCGAAAGCTGTGTTCAACGTCTTCAGGGGCCAGGAAGCTGTCTTCCCCACGTCTGGACCTAGATGTTCGTGCAAGGCGTTTGCCAGGGCTGATACTGACTCCATACAACTGTTGGCACCTTGTCCAACCAGGGGGTTGAAGAGGTGTGCGGCGTCTCCGAGAATGATAATGCGCCCATAATGCCAACGCTTGAGGACGTAGTTGGGCAAGGCTGTGGCACCTTGATTCTCCATGCTCTTGACCAGTTCTGACATGTGAATGCCAGCCGGAGATACGATGGTGTCGCCACAGCTCGACAACTCGCGCTGGATGTCCTCCTCTGAAGGTCGTGGGATCTGGTCAAGAGAGACTGAGCGCATCGATGGAGGAAGAGTCCAGAACCAAAACCAGAAAATACTGTTGTCCGGATTACACATCAATCCAGTTGCCTTGCCGGGCATAGCAGAGCAAATCAAGTCTCCGGGAGATACTCCCTTGAGAGGCCCGGCCGAGGCAAAGAGACACATATGCTCACAGGGCTTGTTCTCCCGATCCTTCTCTGGAATCCAACCCGGTTTCTGTTCGTCGGCATTCCGCCACATTTCCCTTCTCGCCGTGCTCCGTGAACCATCTGCACCCACGACGATCTGTCCTTCAAAGATCGTGCCATCCTCTATATAGACGAAAGCACTTGCCTCAGTTGTCTCGACTCGCTTGACCTTCTGGTTGCACATAATACGCTCCTTGTCGACGATGGCGTCGTACATTATTCCGAGCAGCGCTGAGCGTAGCAGAAACATGTTGATGTAACCATGCCGTTTAATCATGAGTGACTTGAAGATGCGTCTCGTGATCAGCTCGCCCGAGGTGCCATCGAAATAGTTCATAGACTCGGTCGTCTGCCCACTGGCCGCAACCTTGTGGTAGATACCCAGCTGATCCAAGATCCGAAGCCCGTTGGCGTAGAGCCCAATCCCACTTCCCACCGCTGGCACAACACTCCCGTACCCCTCCAGGAGCACCCAGTCGATGCCGAGATGCTGCAGTGTTAGTGCCAGAGTGAGACCTGTCACTCCTCCACCCACGATGATGACCTGCTTCTTTCCGTGTCCGGTTGCCATTGTATCGTCTACCTACAAAGAGAGGGATGGATGGATAGTGAGGATCAGTTAGCTCACCGCGAAGTTCTGCCCCGGCGTACTTTAATAAATCGTTGCGATAGAGCAGCATATATGATTGGTTGGTCATCTCGAAACTCAATCCACAGAGTCTCCATCAATGATGACAGGACGAGGGTTGGCAGTGGGGCTTGGTGAAGATTGTAAGCCCAAAGCTTTACATCAATCCCTACCCTTGGCTGGCAATCTAGCCCTAATAGGCTATTCGGATTTCGAAACCTGGACTGCCAGCACACCGGCCATTCTGGGATCGGGGCTCGGATGTGCTGATACCTCCAAGTAAGCCCGGGCTTACGCACAATATGGCCAGGTGTTACCTGTCAGTCTCACTCAGAGATTTCCTTCCGGATAATGAACATTGTGAGCCTAGAGGAGCCAACAGCTCGGATACGCATCGGTCGACTGGAATGCCCTGCCTAAGACAGTCTGAGATAAGCCTCTTTGGGTCCATTGGACACGGCAGCAATTAAGAGAATTTGGAGGCACAGGAAACTTATTGTCGGGTTTAATATAATGCTCCGCTTGTCTCTCATAACAAGCCCTGAAGAAGTTATGAACAGACTTCCTGTGTGGCGCTCCTCTTGTGGACAGACATTAACCGAGGAGGAAACATATCCTCCTTATACTGAGCTCTCAGCATTGAGCTGGGTTAGAAATTGCTAAACGTTGACCTTCTCACCGATGTCTACTAAATCACATATTTCTCTCGATCAGTTCCAATCTGTCTACCAAGGCTCAAATCAACTTATATCCTAAATTGAGTTTAACTGACAGGAGGATTACTGTAATTCTGTGGCTATACCCCTATTGTTGCTTCCGAACAAAAATGGTAGTTGACAAACAAGATTTCTGGGGAGGATATAATGCCTTCTCTTGTGGGCAGATAAGTAAGCTCAATACGACAACCATCAGCGAATGGTGGTCCAGGTTTTATTTCTGTGCATTAAATAACAATGCAACACATTGTAAGAGAAACGGGCGACGACTACTCAGACACTGCCACAGTTTTGTTCTACTTTCGCAATTAGACCTTCCACGTTCATAGCTAGTAAATAAGATTTTTCATAAGGGAGTCTCTTCAATATCGAAATTTATACCAGCCAGGAATCTACAGGTCATAGCACCAGGATGCGCTTTTCCTCAGAGCGCATATTTCGACCGCATCAACGCCCTCACCATACTTCATTCCGCCCCGGATGAGTGAGTCCATCGATTTCCAATTACCCTCGAATAATTCGGCCAAGGGCAGGATCTCTTCCTTAATTGGCAGAGTCGTCTCGAAAAATTCGGTTTCCGGATCGTCCAAAAACCGAATACCTCCTCTTCCAGGCACCTTGGAAAACAACCATTTACCTGTGGAGGACATTTCATGGAGGAAAATATTCATCATCATCAAGGTTGGCCACTCCATTTCAGCTTCAGGATTTTGGGTGTCTTTCCAAAGTTCAGCGGATATAGGGACAAACTTCAGTTCAAGACCGATGAAACCATCTTGCTGAGTCAAAAGTCGAAGTTCTCGGCAGAGCAGATCAACTCCATCCTCCCTCATATCTTCAAGCATTCGCTCATCCCCTCTTGAGTAAGGCTCTCTATCCCCGACGAGTGTCAAAGCGTTGAGTTTGGGCAGAGTCGTCTTCCATGTGCGCATGTCATTCACCAACTCGTTGCGCATATGCTTGTCCATATGTCGAACCTGAAACCGAAGCTTTTCCAACTCGGGTAAACGTTTTGCGATCGTCAATACCTCGAAAGGATCCGCAAATGCCGCTTCCTCAAACGCGAGTCTCATGATGTTTTTCTGGGGAGCTAATTCAGCCAGATGTTTGTCATTGGACCGAAAATAGCTCCCATGGATCTTGAGGGTGATGGGTTCTTTGAGGTCCCATGTGCTAATGAGATTCCAAAGGGAAGAGAGGGCTGAAAAGATTTTCTCTTGATTCTCAGTTGCAAGAACCTCTTCGTTGACGTTGTCTTCCAGGCTTCCCCCGAAGGCAACCGGGGCGGTATATGCACCATCCCTCGTCTTCTCACCGAAGAAAATGACATACTTGACATGATGGGTACACAGGCTTCCATCCTGGCAGGCTTTGATAAATTCGTCAGCCCGTAAAAAGGTGACTCCCACAATCTTCCCGCACGCTTTTCCATTGCAACATCGAACTGTTTCAGAGATATCAGTGCAATCAACGGGTCGGGGGGATGGTTGATAATCAACAGCCGGATCATAGAAGGGGTCCGTTTTATGTATGATAAAGTCCGCCATTTTCAATTACAATGAGAGGTTGAATGGTCTTTCCTTTGAGATTTTCGGTTGTTGTGGGGTTTCTGAAGAGAGTGCTCTGGTTGACTCCTTTCCTATCTGAGTCGGAGGAAATTCAGCTCCATATAGTTGAGCGAAGGCTGTCGCATAACCGACTCATTTGATCACAACAATGTCCAGTTGTACGTGAAATGTTCCTTTTTTTTGGAGAGGAGCTTAGAAACAGAGGAGATAAAGCGGGCGTTGTAGGCAAACGTGTTCGCAATATCTCGACAATAGAGGTTTATACCTCCTTATCTTCGAAGACAGGTAATGGCAGGAAAGCGTCTGGTTCATTACGACAAAGAGCTTGAATTTTTTTTGTTTCCCCGTCCTAATTTCAATGCTTTGAAAGCCAGGCTGTGACTTTAGAACAATGCGAAATGAGATAGCTTTGTTTTTAAAGGTGGCATTCCCTTTCACTTACAGTCTAGCATTCTGCAGTGGCATAGTCCAATCTTCATTCCTTTCTTCCATAATTCTTTTGCTCTCGGGCGGGACAACCGAGACACACAAAGATTCAATACCAGGACCCATCATCCACCTTGGCTCGCCTGAAAGCATATTTCTTTCGGCTAGTGCACAAGGTCCTGACACGCCAAGTGGAGAACCTTCTCATGACACATGATCTTATCAATCTCTAGATCTCAGCTGATCGACTAGGGGTCAAGTGAAGTACATGGATGAGAGGTGGCTAGTTCATGATACGGCGCTTACTTGCCTAGCCAACAATATCCCATCAAAATGAGTCTTATTAGTTTTAGGCTTGATTTCTCATTTGTGTCCGTATTTATACCCGTCTTGGCGGAGGTAATTCGTAAAAGTACGGGATGGTCGCCAGCGAGCCAGCCCAGATTTAGTCCATGCATCTAATTTCTGTTAGTCACAGGTCACCCTGACGATTTACCAAACTTGGCAACCATCAGTCGGGCTCGGGCAGATTCTGGCTCCGCCTGCTTTGGTTTAAAGACGCAGCTCTAGTCCATTCCGTAAATAATATCGTTCCTGTAAGACACCCAGCGTTTGAACTTCGAATCACGCTGTAATGAGCATAGGGCAAATCCCGACCACGATGGAGAGCAAACCAAGAGCAATTATTGTCGGTGCTGGAATTGCCGGTCTTTCGGCGGCATGGTGGTTGGACAAGGCAGGGTGGTCGTCCATCTTGATCGACAAATCCCCGACTATTCGAGATGGTGGTTATATGATGAGTCTCTCCGGTCTCGGGTACAAAACCGTCCACAAAATGGACCTCGATTTAGAACCAGTCATCTACACCTTCGATGAGAACACAATGCAAGACCACAAGGGAAAGGAGTTGATCCGCCTGCGATACAAAGACTTCCACGGCGTTGACAGCATCGCCCTATGCCGAGGCGACCTTTGTCAAGCTCTTCTACAGGCTCTCCCCGAGTCCGCCACTCTGCGCCTCGGAGAGACAGTTGCAGAGGTGGTAGATGAAGGCGAGAAAGTTCGGGCAACACTTACGAGCGGCGAAACACTCGAGGGAGATCTCCTGATAGGAGCAGACGGGATACGCTCCTCGATTAGAGATCAGCTTTGGAAAGGCGAGGATTGTCTTGACCAACTTGGCTATTCCTACGCAGCCTATGACGTTGACGCGGTTGACGATGAATCAAAGCTCCAGTCGAGCTGCGACTCCTTCGCCAGCCCTGGACGCATCGACAATTTTTATTACTTGAGGAACCAGCGAGTAGCGGCTCTACATATATGGCGGAGTGAGGCAACCCAGCCGCAAGATCGAGAGCTCAGATTTAAGATTCTCCGTGATATCACAAAGGGAGCGCCCCCGCTTGTCACGACCATCCTCGATCGCGCAGAAAAGTCTGGGTCCACGCCGATCATCGACACCCTTACCATGGTTAACCTTCGGCAGTGGTCCAAGGGCCGCATCATGCTACTGGGCGATTCAGCGCACTGCCTTTCGTTGATTTCAGGCCAGGGAGCATGCATGGCTCTGGCCTCGGCCGAGCTCCTGAGCGTCGAGCTGACAAACACGAAGGACGTCGCCCAAGCTCTGGTCAATCATGAGAAGAAGCTGCGTCCAATTATTGAAAAGCTTCAGGAGCGCACTCGGAAGATGGCAGCAATCTACATTCCTACAAGCTTATTCAAATATCATGTGCGGAATTTGTTCCTGAGGTTGATGCCATATTCTTGGATTGTATCCTGGCATGTGAAGAACATCCGGTATGAGGCGAATTTGACAATACAGGATTAGCTGTCCTGAGTTTCAGAAGTCGGTCATCTGATTACGTGGTGGCTACATTCAATTAAGGGTTGGCCAACGTTAGATAAGGCGGTTGAATAGTACCAAATAGGAAGGGCAAGCATGCTGTTGCAATTTGATTGTAATTCTTGTAATGTCTTTCAAAGTTTGTTCGAGTTTGAATTGCGTCTATCGAAATTTCCAAAAATAATCAAGTCTGTCCCGTGTCTATACTAATATCCCTTGTTGTACACATGGTTTGGGAATCATTCCATTACGCCTGATCCCAATGCAATTCCTTTCATGTTTACCCTTGATGCCCAAACCCAGTACGCTAAAAGAGAAGAAAATGCAAATCGTCCCATCGTCGCCCATGAAGCTTATTCATAAAAGCTCTCCGACCACTCGTGGTCCATTATATCCTTGGGCGTGCGGAGCCAGGCCTGCATAAGGCTCGCCTCCATACAAGCGGCTTGTTGCTTCTCGTCGATCCAGCCACAGTCCATGGCCTCGACTGCCGATGGCCACCACGACATCATGGGGCCGGAGAGACTGACTGGGTGGCACTTGGGGGCGAGGATGGGGCGTGAGGTGTCAACAGACTTCTTGGTCTCAACCGCCTTATTCACTGGTGCATCGATGGGGTGCACAGCGCATCGGGGGACCTTGGTCTCGTCTTGTCGGCCGAGGAAGGTGGGAAACTCGAAATCATCTGACGAAACCGAGGTGGCATTTCGGTGGCGACGCTCTCTGATAGGCGACGACGGTGGGATCTCGAACATTGATTCCCGCTTTGATGGCATATCGCTCAGGACGGCTTCTTCATCTTGTCGGCCCAAGAAGATGGGGAACTCGAAGTCGTCCGAGGATACAGAAGTGGCATTTCGGTGGCGGCGTTCGCTGATTGGGGTGGTGGGTGGGATCTCCAGGTCAGACTCATCCTCGGAAGCGATGTCGCTGAGGACGGCCTCCTCATCGTCATGCTCGGTCAGGGGGGTGTGAATCCCTGTGGATGGGAAAGAGTGGTCGACACCATGGTCGCCTATGGGGTTGATGATGATGTGCTCGTGGTCATCGTGGGCATGGGCACGAGCGTGGATGTGGCTCTGGCCAGCGTAGAGGAGTCCTGCTAGGTGGGCAGGGTCAGGGATGTGTGTGAGGGAAGTCACACCCTTCTTGGGCGTGATGGTTTGTGCTTGGGCTTGAATTGCTGATGTGCAAGGCATGTTGGTGTGATGTGCAAGTGAATTGATCAGTCTAGGCTTTGGTCAATCTTTGTTTGGGGTAATGAATCTGATCTGTCTATTAGAAGCTGGGGAGAGCGCCCCTCTATCTATAGAATACCCAAACCAAGGCTAGCAAAGCCAGTTCGAGAATATCGGCAGATGGAATGGATCTTGGCTGGCCAGTCGGCGGCAATCTGCATCTTGTGGGCTGATTACTCTGCCACTGCGCTGACTCCCGGGTTTCATGACGGAGACGTGCGCCCGGATCTTTCTCGGTTCAGCGTCATGCTGCAAATCCTGTGGCGCTCGTGACAGCTGCGTAGCACCCAAATGCAGCAGGCAATGCAATGGCCGGGCGACGCAGGCAGAAAGTGGTTTGTGTGTCGTACGATCGGGAGAGGCCGGGCCCAGTTTTCATCTCATCCCCGGCTTCACCCGCCAAGTCATCGTCAGTTCAGTTGGACGCAGTTGCACGAGCAGAGGGCGAGCCGGCTGAAATTACAGGCTGTGAGCCAATCTGGGGGAAGGTTGTTGGACGATTCGTACGTCGTAGGCAGTAACAATGGCCTCAAAGCGTCTCCTGTGCTCGCAGTCCATTCGCTCTTCTCGATTGGATGGCAACAAGAATGCATCGTGGCTTTTTGAGCGATATCACGTGCAATTCCAGGTGACTGGGAATCATGTGACTAGCTGAGGGCCATTATGTAAGGAATCTAACGAGATCAGATCGGAAGGAAGCGAGAATGGGCCGGGTGCTGGTTTGAGGTTGAACTACCCTATAGCTCGATAAATCCTGTTGCGATACCCTCCCGCCAGCTGTGCAACTGGAGTTGATGACGTATAAATCAAAGCACGAGAGCAATTTCTAACATGAGTCACCCATAAAAGAGAGTATCGTTTTTAGCCGCTACTGTAATCAAGGAAAGTGTCTAAGGTGGTCCAAAGTGGCCTGAGTGGTAAGCAGGAATTTACAGTTTAACAAAAAGGGAGCTCTTATGAACATCTGATTAAAAGTCAGTCGATCTAGCGTGGTCGAGAGAAAATACGAACACCCATCCGACCGAGGCGATTATCAATTCTACACGTGTTTGTCTAACCGTTACAATGACGACGTCGCGCAGTGCGTGGACTCAATAAACCACGATCCCGTCATGGAGAATCCTTAAGCCCGAATCGTAGCGAGTGGAACGCGTGATGTCTCATGGACGAAAGGATCAACAATTAGCGAAAGGTTTATTTCTCACGATACATGTGGTGGTTGGTTATACTGGTGGACATTCTCCCTTTGTACCCCTGAAGGTTGTGAAAGAAGCACAAACTCGTATCTCACTGAATGGTACCAGTAGAAACATGTCCTTGGTCTCGCTTCGAGTCCAGCTGAGTCAGTAATTTCCCGGACCTGTTGGCTGGTCTGGTAGCGTGGCCTCGCATCGAGACGCGATTCTCCACCACCCCGCCTCCACAGTCTCCTCAGCAGCCCTCCTTTACTTGCTTCCCCGTGTGGAGAT